TATCTATCTATCTATCTATCTATCTATCTATCTATCTATCTATCTATCTATCTATCTATCTATCTATCTATCTATACTTCTGCCTTCCTTCCTTCCTTCCTTCCTTCCTTCCTTCCTTCCTTCCTTCCTTCCTTCCTTCCTTCCTTGCATAACAATTGCAGCACACCCCTTATCCATTTATCATTAGTGCAAACCAACTATAAGAGGCTTTTATTGTTTTATTTATTCACTTGAGGCTGTCTTATTTTAAATGTGTCCCCTTAAGTCAAGTTATGTTAGTGTGTGTTCATAAATCATGAAGAGGAGGACCACAGCAACCACAAGGCTGTTGTGTCCTTGTCAAATGTCACTGTGGGAATTCGCTGTGCTGGCAGCAAATCCAGCTCTCGCTGTCTGGGAAAAAAAAAACCCAGCAGCTGCTTCTGCACTTCCATTGCCTGAATGTTTTGTGTGCTGCAATCAACATAAGATCTTTCACTCTCTTTTTGTGTAAGAACAGATTAAAGCAAAGTCCCAAACACTGCAGGCTTATCTGGGCTCTGTCCCGAAGAGAGCAGCAGCTTTAGCAGCAGCAGCTCTGGGGTTTGCCTTTTGGTTGGTGGCAGAACGGGAACATGTGGTCATGCAGCGGCCAATGCCGATCACAGGGCAGGCAATCGGTTCTCAGAACAGAGCCAGTAGCGGCTTTCTGTGCAGAAAGAAATCCCTCTTAAAAAAAGACAAGACACACACACAGACTGAGAGAAAGAGAGAGATAGGGAGAGAGGGAGGGAGGATTTGTTACAGAGCAGAAGATGAGGATGCAGAGGGAAGAGGATGTTGCAGGGGAGGCTGTAGGGAGGTGAAAACAAACATCACGACAAGCCTTGTGATCCCAGTCCCAAGATGTAGGCGCTGATTGATCCGAGGGTGTCTGTGAATGCACCGTACAATCCAAGGACTTGTTGTGATTCAAGGATAAAGAAGGTGGAAGGCTGCAACCTGAGAAGCCCCCCCCCACATCCACCACCACTTAGGATGACAAATTAGTGTTTACCAGGCGA